TTTGTCATTCATAAGGAGCCCCTTATAAGCCAACCTGAGCTTTTGTTAATGAGGTGACATGTGCCACATCAGGATGGGGCTGGTCAATAGAAAAGCCAAATGACTGGAAGCCTGGAACTTTCAGCCCCACCAAAAGACCCTTGGGAAAGGGAGAAGAAGCACTGCAGATTATGCCCCATAAGAGCTCTAGAACAAGGAGATTCTATAAGTTTTCATATTGGTGAGCACATCCACATGTTGGGAGGAGCCATACCCCAAATCTTCTGGGGCAAAAGCTCCTCCACCTTGGGACCCTTTCTGCCAGACTTCACCCTATGTACCTCTTCATCTGACTAGTCATGTGCACCCTTCATAACATCTTTTATAATAAGTTGGTAAACCTAACTAAATATCTGTTGAAGAACAAAAAACTTCTCCTGAGTAAATTTGAAGATCTAATTGGTTTTATTAACTGATTCTGGACTCAGGAAATATCCGATCTGGCAAGTAGAGGGGAGCTCTAAGGTACTGAACAAAATGGAAGGTTTTTATAAGGAGGGTGGGGCAAAGAAGTTATTAGCAAAAGAAAATATTGTTTCAGTCAAGGTCAACTTCTGCCAAGGGGAAGGGATGGGGTTTTTACTAGTTGGATTACCTTATCTTCCTTTGGGGAATGGAGAGGTCTCCTGTGACAGATTACCTCAGTGGTGCTGACTGGAAAATTCCTGACTGATGATTTAAGACTACATTTCTGTGGCAGGTTGAAACTGCAATTAGATTAGGTGTTAAGTCCTTGATTGGTGACTTGGCCTAAATGGCTCCATTTTGGGGCTGCGATTTTCTTTTTCACATAGCTGAGTTCTGTGAGCCACCCTAGCAAATTAATAGAACCTGAGGAAAGGGTTGTGAGACCCTCTTATTGGTAGCCAGTAGGTAAGAAGCACAACTGGAAACTGACTTCTAAAATGGGGGCAGGGGCGCCTGAGTGGCTCAGTCGGTTAAGCGTCTGACTTCAGCCCAGGTCATGATCTCACGGTTCATGGGTTCAAGCCCTGCATCAGGCTTTGTGCTGACAGCTCAGAGCCTGGAGCCTGCTTCAGATTCTGTGTCTCCCTCTCTCTCTGACCCTCCCCTGCTCGTGCTGTCTCTCTCTCTCAGAAATAAATAAAACATTAAAAAAAATTTTAAATGGGAGCAGTCATGTAACCAATTCAAGGGGTTGAGGACAAACACAACAGTCCCTAGTTGAAGCATATGCTTTATTGCTTGTTCAGTCTCAGCACCTGGGCAAGTTTAGATTCCTGCAATGCCCAGAAAAGGCCTCCCATATATCAAAGTGGGCTTAATGCAAACTTTTTCTTTGGACCTGCCCTAACTCTGGTTAAAGCTATGGATAGCAGCCTCAACCAGTTTTCCTGAGTTTTTTTTGACAAAGCTTAGCTAAAGTTTTCTTAAAGTTCTGTTATATCTTTCAAACCTTCTGGATAACCAGGGCGTCTGTAGCTCCATTTTATCTCTAAAGCATGGGCCACACCCATAATTATTTTAGAGGTAAATACTTGTCCATTATCATTTTGTATTGTTTGGGGAAGACCAAACCTAGGAATCACCCCCTTGACAGCCTCATTTGCTTTTTCATTTCTACAAGGAGAAGCTTTCATCCATCCAGTGGATGAAGAAGCATAAGGCTGAGGGCAAAAGCACAAACTCACAACACCCCTCCTCTACCCATGTAGGATGTATATGATACTCCCCAGGCACACCCAGCTGTCCAAGAACAAAGGAAAGGGGAAAACAAGTGATTAACTGATAGACAGCACAGGACCCAAGTCTCCACCAGTTTACAAATGTCTTAGAAATTTACAAGCAAAAAGCAATTTTATCAATAGCCTAATCTCTAGGAACTCCCTACTGTCTTAATGATAATGCTTTGCTAGAGGAAAAAACAACCCAAGTTTGACAATAGCAAGGCCTCCAGTATCCTTTGAGTCTTCTTTAGCATATGAAAATCTCTTTAAGAAACTTCCTCTGGACTCTTATCTCCAACTCCATAGTATATAACCAGTTACTCTTCACAACTCCAGTGCGTCTCTTCCTACCACCAGATCCTGTCCCTTTGCTTTAGTAAAAGTACACTTTTTGTACCAAACAGGTCTCAAAAATTCTTTCTTGGCCATCAACTCTGGACCCCACCATCACTCTGAAACCCCATCACAGTGAAAGTTATCTATGAAAATCAGGAGGCATTTATATTTTCCAGGGGCAATAGGCATAACTGTAAAATCCACCTGCCTATCTTCCCCACATAAAGTTCCTCTAGCTGTATAGCTTTGGCTAGAGGTAGAACCGGCAGGTTAGTTTGCATATCTTTTTTTTTTTTTTTTTAACACAGTACATACATTTTTGTATAGCTTCCTTTATGGGGTCTCTCAGAATCATTCTGAGTGTCCCACAAGCATAAAGATTGTATAAACATAGGCTGTTGTGGCAATATTCTCTGAAGTTTACCTCAAGTTTTCTATTTACAGATTGTAGGGCTTCGAGATTGCAGATCTAGCCTAACTCAAAGAATGGGAGAAAATTGGAAACCTTAGTTTGGAGAACCATAACCAGATACTCAGTGAAACCAGAAGAATTCAGGATCCAGCCCAGTTTTACAGGCAAACAACAAACACTCAAAGACAATTAATCGGAAGTAGAATCTAACATTCACAGAGGGGTGTTACTGAAATGTAATGTAATTTTTCTTTCTAAAATCACCCTCATTTCCAAACAAAGATAGCCAAATTAAGACTAATTTGTTGTAAAACAAGTAGTTTTAAATGAACTTGGCTTAAATATTTACATAAGTACAGCAAGAATAGTGATTGGCCATATAGGTTCTTTTAAACCTGCTTTGCTGGAACTTTTCATAATGAATTTTGGATTGAATGCTTAATGGCTTCTCAAGGCTAAGAAGTCAAGCAGCCAAATACTTGCCATCAGATTTGCCTGAAATACCTGTAGTTTTTGGTTAGTCCCTCTCTTCCTGAGGTCTCCAAAATATTCTAATATTCCCAAGTATGACACGAAATGACCTTCCTTACTTACCTTGTATGGCTCCCAGGAAACTTGTAAGCAGTGTGCCAGGTCAATTTTTCCAAGGGACTCGGTGGCTCCATAAAATCAACCTTAGTTCCTTAAAGCTGTCTAGTCATATCTGAGTCTATGCATGTCTCTCTCAAATATGATATTCCAGTCAAAGCCTTGGTTGGGGCACCTGGGTGGCTCAGTCGGTTAAACGTCTGACTTCGGCTCAGGTCATGATCTTGTGGTTCATGAGTTTGGGCCTTGCATTGGGCTCTGTGCAGACAGCTCAGAGCCTGGAGCTTGCTTTGAATTCTATGTCTCCCTCTTTGTAGGCTTCTCCCCAATTCGTGCTCTGTCTCTCTCTGTCTCTGTCTCTCTCTCTCTCAGAAACAAAAATAAAATAAACATTAAAAAAATTTTTTTAAAGCCTTGGCAATATGACCAGTGCGTTCAATGGTATTCTGTTACAAGGAGAACAAATTTTTATTGAATTTATGCAAATAATTACAATTGCCATAAAAGTAGGAATACTCACTGAGTTTCCAAATTCTGGAGTGATTAGGCAGGGAGAAAAAGATAAAGGTTTCATATCTGTTTACAAAGTTATATTTTACCAAATTTTTCTAAGTCATAGGTAGCTTAAAAGAAAATGTTTCCTTAAAGCAGTAAGAGCAGACATTAGAGAACCTGCAATGTTTCAAATGAGAGTCATAAAAATTATAATTATTCTCAATTCATTCACTCCCAAGTAACTAATTCTTGTTCTGTTTGAATGCAGTTTTTTTCTGTTCCAGAAATTCTTACTTGGTTTAGTTTAATGATCTTAACAGTATCAGAAACCTGTATTTGTCAAAAGTCTCTTCCATGAATCTCCTTGAAAATGAAACACATTTGCAGAAGCATCAGGACAATAACTGTAATTGACAAAAGACCATGGTTGAAGATCTGACCAGAGTACATTACATTTCAGTTGGCAAGGAAATTTGATTATTTGTGTGACATACAACATTTCAATAACTAGAATTACAGTTGATAATATCCCAGGACATATTAAAACTAGAAATTTCATATAATTTCTGGAATAGTTACAGCACTTACCCATACAACATAACCTAAGAAGATTTATCATCATTTGTTTGATAATGCTTCCCACATAACCTAATATACAAAAGAAACAAGCCTACTTAGTCCAAAAGACTTTTTAGAATTTGAATTTTGGAGAAGTCTGTTAAAATCCTCAGAAGGTTTTAATGCCCATGCCTAAATAGGATCACAGATATACAAAACTTAATAATTTATCTATTTAACCAATGTGGCAATGATTCTATAGAAGTTTACATAGTTGTTAGCAAAACATTGCTTTTTTTAAAAGTTTTTGTTTTAATTCCAGTTGGTTAATATACACTTTATATTAGTTTCGGGTGTATAATATAGTGATTCAACAAAAAACTTAGCTCTTTGGAGGGGCAGAGAAAGAAGGAGATACAGAATCTGAAGAAGGCTCCAGATTCTGAGCTGTCAGCACAGAACCCAATGCTGGGCTCAAACTTACGAACCGGGATATCATCACCTAAGCGCAAGTCAGATGCTTAACCAACTGAGCCACCCAGTTCCCCCTAATTTAATTTAAATTTTTTTAAAATGACTATTTATTTTGAGAGAGAGAGGAATCAGGAGCTGGGGAAGGGCAGAGAGAGTGGAAGAGACAGAATCTCAAGCAGGCTCCATGCTGTCAGCATAGATTTCACTGTGGGGCTTGATCTTCCAAACCCTGAGATCATGATTTGAGCCAAAATCATGAGTCAGGTGCTTAACTGGCTGAATCACCCAGGTGCTTCTAATTTAAATTTTTTGAAGTCGGCTCTGTACCCAGTGTGGGGCTTGAATTTAAAACCCTGAGATTAAGAGTCACATGTTTTACTCACTGAGCTGGCCAAGTGCCTCAAAATTACCTCTTTTAATATTGAGAAGATTCAATTTTCTTAATTGATCAAAGACCTGATAAAAAGAAAAGAGAAACTTTGTTTTTCCTGAGCAATAAGAAAATCTTTGTTTACAATTTCTTTCTTATCAAGAGGAGAGATCAATAATCTAAGAAAACTGTCATTTTAAGGGAGAGAAAAATCAAATTCCAAGCTTATATCAGTATTCTTTTATTTTTTTAAGTTTATTTATATTTTGAGAGAGAGAGAGAGAGAGAGAGGAGGGGAGGGGCAGAGAGAGGGGGAGAAAATCCCAAGCAGACTCTGTGCTATCAGTGCTGAGCCCGACTCACACCCTCTACCAGCTGAGTCAGCCAGGTGCCCCCAAACAGTCTCATTTTAGGACAAAATGACTATTTTTTCTCAAAAAATTGTTCCCAGGGGTGCCTGGGTGGCTCAGTTGGTTAAGCATCCGACTATTGATTTTGTCTCAGGTCATGATCTTGCATTTTGTGAGATCAGGCTCCAAGCTGGACTCTGCTCTATGCTGACAGATTCTGTCTGCCCCTTCCCTGCTCACTTTCTCTCTCAAAATAAATAAATAAACTTAAAATGTGTTTCCATTCCTCATACCTTTCTTACCAAAATTATATCTTACTTTCCTTGTATACAGGGTTGTTCCCCCTAGTTTTTTCCAGTGTTCCTAATTATATTTATTAGACTTCTTAATGCTAGTAACAACTAAGTGGTAAATAATTGTGAACTCTCTGTTATACCAGAATTCTTTTTTTTAAAAATTTTTAATGTTTATTTTTGAGAGAGAGAGAGAGAAACAAAGTGCGAGTCAGGGAGGGACAAAGAGAGAGGGAGACAGAGGATCCGATGCAGACTCCAGGCTCTGAGCTCTCACACAGAGCACAATGCAGGGCTTGAACCCATGAGCCTTGAGGTCATGACCAGAGCCAAAGTCGATGCTCAACTTACTGAACCACCCATGTGCCCCCATTGTACAATCTTTCTATAAATCTTAAAATACATTTACTAATAGACCCAAATTTATCTTTAGTTTCTCTGTAGTAAGACAAAAGTAGATAAACCTATGTTTAATAATCAAAATTTCAGTATTTTATCTGACTTGGAAAAGATTAGATATCTAGTGAGTTCAACTCAGTTTATCATTTAAAATTTTTAAATTCTAAGTTACTAATGATTTTGGAAACTGTTTAAAAATTTACCTGTATAAACCTTTTTATCTATTTAACCTCTCATGAGAGAGACAAAATTAACCATGATTTTAAGTCATTTTTACTGACAAATTGCAACAGATACAACATGAATTTGACCAATAAATTTAGATAGAATAAAAGTTGATTATCTGTATTATATTTGACTTATCAGCATAAGTCCAAAAGACATGCCTATTTTAATTAAACCAACAAACTTACACTTTAATTTATCGTAGATTATCCCAGATCACATCAACCTGATCCATTTGATTTCGTTACTATCTTTCTGAGATTTAGAATGCCCAATTTTAGTGCTTGTCTTCAAGTTAACTAAATAGAGCTCTTTTAGAATTAATTTTAGCAATACCATCTGGAGGTAGAAAATACCTTACATAGACAGACACAAACAACGATGTTATAGTTAAGAGTTGTATTTATCTTTGGTAAGTAATCTTACGAAATTCGTGGGCTAGATTTTGAGCAAGTGTGATTTTCTAGGCTGTATTTTAAAAAGGCTTCTTTTGGGACACTTGGGTGGCTGTCAATTAAGCATCCAACTTCAGCTTAGATCATGATCTAACAGTTCATAAGTTTGAGCCCTGCATTGGGCTCTGTGCTCACAGCTCAGAGCCTGGAGACTGACTGCTTCAAATTCTGTTTCCCTCTCTCTCTGCCCCTCCCCTGCTCATGCGCTCTCTCTCTCTCAAAAATAAGTAAATATTTATTTTTTTAATGTTTTTTTATTTCTGAGAGAGAGAGACAGCATGAGCAGGGGAGGGTCAGAGAGAGAGGGAGACACAGAATCTGAAACAGTCTCCAGGCTCTGAGCTAGCTGTTAGCACAGAGCCCGATACAGGGCTCAAACTCACAAACCTGTGAGATCATGACCTGAGCCGAAGTCGGACACTCAACCGACTGAGCCATCCAGGTGCCCCCAAAATAAGTAAACATTTACAAAAATAAATAAAAAGTCCTCTTTTTCCTTTTTTTCCCCCTTCAATATTAGGAATGGGGAATGATGTAGGTAAAACTTCCTAGAAAGGCTGGAGGACTTTGAATCATTTCTGAGGCCATATTTCTAGTTCTTGCAAAGATTTGTAAGATAAGGACAGTTGCTTTCAATCCCTCAAGGAATTGGGTTGCAATTCAAATGACATAATAGGTTGATCTACCCATCTGATTACATTTTCCTCAATTTGCTTCTATCCCTCTGGGTACATGTTTCTAATTTGGGTTTAGGAGAAAAGGCCTTTAAAAAAAATTCCTATCAGGTTCTGATTATCAGCTTCCAATCTGGCCAACTTCTGACTACAGAGTTATTGCCTTTGCACAGTGAGGAGAAGAATTTTCCTTTTAATGCCTTGTTCCCCAGCATCTCATTTTATGGATAAGAAGAAGGTAGAGTAGTAAGAAGTATTTCTTCAGGGGTTGATACTTTTAAGCTCAATTTTGTCACTATTTGAGAAAGTTTCAGTTTCTTGCATGAATAGTATCCTGTTAATGTTTTTATTTTTTATTTTTTAATTTACATACAAGTTAGCTTATAGTCCTGTCAATGTTTTTTACAAGCTTCCAAATACCAAACTATGTATCCTCCTCAGATTGTTAATAGGTAGCTTTCTGGAGTTAGGTGCACAAATACACTAATTAGGTATTCTAAAGGATATTTATTTAGGCCATTTGAGTGTTAAAATCATCCTTAGTATAATCCTGTATCTTGCATGCTTCCAGTGATCCAGAAGGTTCTTGCTTCTTTCACTTGGGGAGTTCTAGGCTCAACCTGAATGAGCATTTAATCCACAAGGGCATTCCCCTAAGGGGCCCTTTTAAAACAACAACAATAACAAACAACAAACAACCTTTCCTCTGACCTTGGATCTCTGTTAAGGATTTGCCAGCAACTGCCAACTTCTATAATAAGGGCTAGTGGAGACATAGATTCAGCTGTTTTTAGCCTACTGAAAATTTCCTTCTCTAGAGAGTTGGTAAGTAAGCTTTTAAAAGTTCTTGAGAATGCCCACTCAAGTTGTTCAGGTATACCACCCTGGCACCTCTCTATGGACAATTTCCAGAACTTGAGATTTATCTTATCGAGGCCTTTAATGATCAGGCATATCCAATCAGCTTCCAGGACTTGCAACTCCTCAGATTCCCTACCAAGACTAGATCAGATAGCTGTGCAGACTCTGAGCCCTCTCCAGCCCACCCAAAGAGGCAGAGCCCTAAAGCAGATTTGTGCCAATTAATTGCCACTCACTTCTCCAAAAGGCTCACTTCTCTAAAAGGCTCTCCAATTAACATGTCCTAAGCAGCTAATGGGCCTACTCAGTGAGTCAAGGTGTAAAATCTGACAAATCAGGTACCAGGATGGATTCTTCTATGCACTTCCCTACAGATTCCCCAGCACATAGATGAGTTTGTCCCCCAACCCTCCACCCTCACTATGTAACCAGCTGGGAGCTGTGGGAACTAAAAGGAGTTAGGTGAAAGGTCTCATCTGGGTCACCAAAATTTGTAAACAGCCTCAAGTGGTTTGCTACTTGGGTGTGTTAAATTGATCACAGCCCAAAGAAATGTTGAAATCAAAAGGCTTTTTATTACTTGTTACAAGTAAGGAGACAGGGAGCTTTCAAAGCACTATTCTCCCCATGGGGTTAGTACAGGAAGCTTTTATCCAGTATATTAGGGGGCAGGGTGGTAGCTTGCATATACATTAAGGAACTTATGCATACGCTCTTACTTAGGCACTTTGGTTCACTTGTGCATGTCTAGGATGTCAACGTGCTTGTGCATACATGGTACGTTCAAAAAATGGCAGAAAACCTTGCCCATAGGCAGAGATCTTAGTATTATCAGCTAAAAGAAACTTCAGGACAACTCAAGGGGTTTCTGTGTAGGTCCTTAGCTCTAAACCAGCTTAATCAGGCAAGGGGCTATCATGTGAAACACCTAGCTGAAATCTTTTTGGCAGGATCTGCCAGTTATACAAAATAAAACACATTCTGTTCCTGCTTTTGTCATCTCCCTACCCTACCCCTAGCTCTGCTGACAGATATTAGCCCTCAGATTTTAGTACCTCTCTGTTGTATCCTAGCTAACCTTCATCTGGGACTGAGCCCTTAACCTGTGGGATCTAATACTATCTCCAGGTAGATAGTGCCAACACTTGATCCCAAGATCAAGTTAATTGCTTGGTGGTATTGGAAAACACACATCAGAGTAGTATTAATGAAATGAACCATCCAATGTAATTCAGAAATGATTGAGAAATACATGCTTTTCTCCATTTCATACATATATTTTTCATTTCTTTAACCCCCTTGCCCCATTTCCATTTCCTTTGAAATGATAAATTAGAGTATTTCTTATAGCTATAATCCTGATACTAAAAATACCAGTGAGATCTACTTGAAATATGACCTAAATTTTAAAAAAAAGTAGTTTTAACCTAGTCAGAAGACAATGGCCACAGACAAAAGAAAAAGAAGATAAAATATTCATTTTTCTACACAGATACCTGAATTATACTCATGAGAATATGTGTGTGTTGTTTTTAGTCAAAGTTGCTTCTTTGTATGGAAACCATTTCCCTTTATTTAACTATCCCTAATGAGGCAAGGTCTTGTTATATCAGCAAGATGGAGGGAGAATTTTAGGATTCAAATTCAGTCAGAGAATGAGTGTAAATTTATGTTTGGTAGCTGAAGTACAGAGGAGGTTGGTGGAATTATGTTGCTCCTCAAGATGTACAAGATACAGAACTGCCATGCTGACACAACTCAAGGACACCTGCCCCACCACCACTGTCCCTAAGTCTCACATGTTAAAAAAAACAAAAATACTACTGAATACCTTTGAAGATCTAACTGGCTTTATTAAGTGATTCTTGAATCAGGCAGCACCCCATCTACCAAGTAGAGGGGAGCTCTGAGGAGTAGTACAAAATGGAAGATTTTTATAGGAAGGAAGGTGAGGTGAAGAAGTTATTAGCAAAAGAAAAGAAAGTATTGTTTCAGGTGTGGTCAACTTCCCTTAAGGGGTAGAGTAGGAGCCTTATCACACAGATTACCTCATTTTCTTTTGGGTGGGGTGGATAGAGAAGCCAGTGTAACAGATGACCTCACTGATGCTGATCAGAAAATTTCCTGACTGGGTAAGACTACATTTCTGTGGGAGGTTGAAACTGCCCTTAGTTTAGATATTAAGACTGGGTTTGGTGACTCCACCTAAGTTGATGCCATTTTGGGCCTGTGGCTTTCTTTGTAACACAGATATACTTAAGTTCTTGCAGAAAGCCTCTAAATACCTGGTTATTTTAACCGTTGCTTATACTGCTTTCTCTGTTGTGTCCTGTTTTCCAGGGCCCAAGAGGTGAGCATCTGACCTGGTGGGCTATTATGGAGACCTTGGCATCCTCTCTGGTTTCACCCTCCACAGCTCCTGGAGGCAGCTCCTGAAAGGCAGTAGAAGCAGAGTTAGTGCATTTAGACAGACTATAATTGTCAGGAGTCACAAACATTGCCCTGGTGCTTTTCTCTTGCCTTGATGTATATAGGTTGGTCATCCACAGTTGCCATCATGACTTTTCTAGCAGAATTTTTTACCCATACCTTGCTACTATTTTGAGCCTGCTCAAAACTGTTCTGATAGACATCTTTTTTTGGTCAATAGCACAAGACACATCTGTGTTTTTCCAAAACAGAAGTGGGGTCCTTGACACCTATGGGGGCAACAGTGGTGTGGAAGGGAAAACTTAAGACTTAGCATGTGAATGTGGATGGACAGAGATGATAAACTGTCATAATACATGTTTGTACTCCCATTCAACATGGGCTTTTGAGGGCAGAGACCAAGCCCTATTCTGGTGTTATTCAATTAGCATATGCAACACTATTTGATATTTGTTTGTAAAAAGACTGGGAACTTGCACCATAATGTAATATCAACATACTGCTTCTTTAACAGAGAACATTTATCTAATGAGCAGTGCACCAACACTTTCACTAACTATGCATCCGTATAATCTTGCTGGTTATTAGTGTATGCAGTAGTAGGCACTTAATCATTATTTATTCACTTTGTGAAATAGTTTTTGGCACGGATTGATTGATCTTTAGATTAATCCTAAAAGGACCTACGCCTTCCTGGAAAAGCAGTACTTTTTTCACTAATCACTTTCTATCTTAACAATTCCTTCATCAGTAAAGTGGCACATAATATATTTATTATATATTATTGATATATATATGTCTAGTGATCAATCTATTATTTATCATAAAGGTAATATATATTATTGGTCCAAATATGAATTTGATTATTCTATAAGATAAACTTGGATGTTCCTTCTTCCCTCCTTGCCAACTCATCTTCCTATAGTCTGGACATAGCAAGCATCTACTCACTAAATCATTAATTAATTAATATCTTGTGTTAGGGATTGCTATGAATTGAACTTGTGCTCCCCTAAATTCATATGTTGAAGTCCTAACCCCCAGTACCTCAGATGTTACCTTGTTTGGAAATAGAGTTATTACAGATCTAAATCATAAAGTGAAGATGAGGTCATACTGGAGTAGGATGAGTCCTAATCCAATATAACCGTTGTACTTATAAAAAGGGGAAATTTGGAGAGAAGACACATACACAGGGAGAGAATGCCATGTGAAGATGAAGGGAGAGATCTACAAGTCAAGGAATGCCAAACATTGCCAGCAAATCACCAGAAGCTAAGAGAGAAGTCAGGAACATATTCTCCCTCAGGGCCCTCAGATGGAACTAATCTTGCTGACATCTTGAATTTGGATTCCAGCCTTTGAAAGGATGAAACAATACATTTCTACTATTTTTAAATGTTTATTTATATTTGAGAGAGAGAGAGCATGAGTGCGGAAGGGGTAGAGAGAGAGACACATATATACAGAATCTGGAGCAGGCTCCAGGCTCTGAGCTGTTAGCACAGAGGCTGACATGGGGCTCAAACTCATGAACCACGAGATCATGACCTGAGCCAAAGTAGGGCATGTAATCAGTTGATTACATGCACATTTCTATTGTGGTACTTTCTGATGGTACCCCTAGTAAACCAATCCTGGGACACATTACTATATATTTTGTTCATATATTGCAAATAAGATATAACAGATAACATATATTATTAATGCACATATCATTTCCCAACTTCCCTTTTTGATTCATCAATGTATGGATGTCCTTCTTCACCAGCATATTAAATTCTACCACATTTTTAGAAAATGGCTGCATAGTATGCATAACTGTGCATACTTTTCTCTGTTAAAATGTTATTTACTTTTTAAATGTTAATATGTTAAGCTTTAATAATAAAGAGGGATTAAATTATGTAATTGGTCTTGTCCTTTATGGTTCTGGTTTTTGTTCTTGTTGAGAAAAATCTCCCCACGCCAGCATTATAAAGATAGTATATTTCTATAATATTTTTTCCTTTTTAAAGCATTATGTTAATAATCTATCTAGAATTTGTTTTAGTTTGTGGTGTGAGATTAGGATTTGATTTTTTTCCCTAAATAATAAATTTTTCCAATATACTATATTAAATAGGTTTTCCTTTCTTCCATTGATTTAAAACCCCACATTTAGGGAGTTTAAAACTCCACAGTTAGCCACCTGGGTGGCTCAGTCAATTAAGCATCTGGCCCTTGACTTCGGCTCAGGACATGATCTCACGGTTTGTTGGATCCAGTCTAATGCAGAACCTGCTTGGGATTCTGTCTTTCCTCTCTCTCTTCCTCTCCCCTCCCATACTTGCAGTTATACTCTCTCTCTCAAAATAAATAAACATTAAAAAAAATTTCACATTTATCATGGACCAAATTTCCATAAATGTAGAAATTTATTGTTTTGTCCCACTTATACATTCCTTCATGAAAACCATCAGGAGAAATAGCTTTAACTGACATATAATAGGATATATCCTTCTCTTTTTTTGAAAGTGGAAATTATAATGTTTCTTTTCTTTTTTTCTTTTTTTGCCCACCTTTTATTTATTTGTTTATTTATTTATTTATTTATTTTTGAAAGACAGCCTGAGGTGTAGAGGGAGAGAGAGATTCTTAAGCAGGCTCCATGCCCAGTGCAGACCAGTGCAAAGTCTGACAAAGGGCTCAATCTCATGATCCTAAGATCATGACCTAAGCTGAAATCAAGAATTGGAAGCTTAACTGACTGAGCCACCCAGGTGCCCCTTGTAAAGAAATCATTTGACATACAAACACTATATGTTAGAAATATTAGTTACAAAGCATAGTAATACACTTGAGTAATAGTTACTTATTACTAAAAACAAATTACCCAAACAACATCTCTCTGTCTCTATGGGTCAGGAATACAGGGGCAGCTAGCTGGTGGTTCTGGCTTGGGATCTTTCATGATCCTAAGATGCATTAAGACATTGGCCAAGGCTACAAACTTCTAAATGCTTGATTAGAACGTGGGGATACACTTTAAGGATGGCTGGTAGGAGATCTGAGCTTCTCACACATGGATCCCACAGAGGGCTAATTGGTGCCTTCCACCAAGGTAGCTGGCTTGGTAGCTGGATCTCTGGGACAAATGATCCAAGAAGGTAGGCAAAACTGCAATGTCTATACCCAAGCCTTGGAGGTCACACACACTGTCATTTCCTCAGTATCCCATTGTTTATACATATAAATCCCTATTCAGTGTGAGAGGGGACTACACAAGGGCATCAATACTGGGAGATGGGGATCACTGAGGGCCACAACATAGAACAAATGAACTCACCACCAAGACCGAGAAATGGTACACTACTGATAACTTGCATCTACCCACATGTCCTTTCCTTACCACAGCTCCCTCTCTCCCATTGGTATTTAAAATTCCACCCTGTTATTTTTTTAATATCTGCATTTTCAAAGAATATTTATTTTGAAATAATTGTAGGTAGATTCATATGTAATTGTGAGAAATAAAAAAAGCGATCCAGTATATTCATCACCAAGTTTTCTTTAATGTTAACACCTTACAGAACTATAATACAGTATTACAACCAGAAAATTAACATTAACGTGATTTAACTTACTCAAGTTTCACCATGCACTCATGTGTATTTGTGTGTGAATTTAGTTTTTTTTTTTTTTTTTTAATTTATTTTTCAGTAATCTCTGCACCCAATGTGGGGCTCAAATTCACAACACTGAGATCAAGAGTCTCATGCTCCTTTAGCTGAGCCAGCCAGGTGCTCTGTCATATGTGAATTTGAATTTAGTTCTATATACTTGTGTTGCAAGTATAGACTTATGTGATCACCACTATAGTCAAAATACAGAATGCTTCCATCACAAGGACCCCTATCAACACCATTCTATAGCCATAACCACTTCCCTTCCTTTCTCCTTCCAAACTACTAGCAATCAGATTTGTTCTCCATCTCTGTTATTTTGTTATCTCAAAACTGGAATGGAATCAGACGATATGTAACCTTTTGAGATTGGCTTTGTTTTCTGAGCATAATTCCCTTGAGATTCATCCATACTGTTGTGCACATCCATAGCCCCCTTATTTTCATTGCTGGGTAGTTAATTCCATGATATGGATGTATCACAATCTGTTTATCCATTCACCTGTTACAGTTACTTGATTTCTTTCCTGTTTCTATCCCTTATGTATAAAGCTGCTATTATAAACATTTGTATGCAAGTTTTGTGTCAATGCAAGTTTTAATTTATCTGGGATAAACATTCAGTATAGTCACAGAGTTGCCTGGCAAGCACATGTTTAGTTTTGTAAACAAAACAAAACAAAAGCAGATAAAAATCTGCTTTATTGCAGATAAAAGTAGCTGAACAATATTTTGCTCAGTATTTCTAGCATTTGTCCTCCATAAAAACAGTATTGCTATGTATATAGTCTTCTGGGACTTATTCTTTTCACCTAAAATTAGGTTTCCAAGATCCCTCCACATTACTGCATGTATCTATACTTCATTCATTTTCATAGCCATACAAATTTTTTCATTTGTGACTACTGTACACAGTCAAAGGTGGAACAAGTTGCTCCATTTATGAACAAGTGCGCTATTTACAAAAGGAGTGTTCATGTGCAAGGTTTCTCTGGCATATACTTAGGGACAGGGGTGCTGAGATTTAAGGACTTTGAAGGTTCAAATTTAAGATGGAACACCAAATTGCTAACCAAAGTGGGTGCACCCATTCATACTTCCAGTGGCAATGTTTAAAAGTTCTTCTAATCCACATCCTCTACAGCCTTAAGTATTTGATTTCTTAATTTTTGTCAATGTAGTAGGTTATTAATTTCCTATATCCAAAATGTTTTTTAACTTATTTATGTTCATTCATTCTTCAGTTACTCATATTAAAGCTGTCAACTTGTAAACAATAAATCCAGTTGGAATTAGTTTGGAAAATACACAAAATCCACAGGTTAGTTTAAAAAGTTCCACTCAGAGAAATGGCATGTCTATATTTACCCAGATCTTCCTTTATCACCTTTAGCAAAATGTTGGTAGCCATGTGATCACATATTCCTTACCTGTGATATGGGATAAAAATTTTCCCACCTCATGGAATGGCCAGGAAGATAAAGATAATGACTATAAAATGAGTAAGCACATGGCTGGCAGGTATTACATTCTCTACAAAGTTTAAATATCACCACTTCTATTGTTGGTCTTTGTCATGATTTTTTGCATACAGCTTGAACTGACTTTTTTTCCTTTTCACTAGGCATTTTATATTATTCTAAAAATGAGATCCTTCTGTTGATTCATTATATTTTCTAAGTGGCTCTCAGTTATACATGAGAAACTCGTGATTGCACATTTTTTATCTTATAGTTAGCTATATTACTAACCACTTTGTTGGATAAAATCCATGATGTTGCAAACAGTGATAAATTCTGCTTTTATTCTAGTATTTTACCTATAAATGTTACTATTTGGTAATAATCTATAAAAAGACTATAAGCTGCCCCTGCAGCTCTATACTTTGATAATTTAATTTAAATTAATGCTAAGGCCTTGTTAATTACTGTACAACATCTGTGCCTAACTTTACAAATTATAAATTTCAGAATCTTTTGTGACTTTTTCTTAAAAATTCAGGACACTCACATGGTGCCTGAGTGGCTCAGGCAGTTAGGTGTCTAACTCTTGATTTCAGCTCAGGTCATAATCTTGTATTTTCTGAGACTGAGCCCACATTGGTCTCTGTGCTGACAGCTCAGAGCCTGCTTGGGATGCTCTCTCTCCCTCTTTGTCTGCTGCACGTGTGCATGCGCACGCTCTCTCTTTCTCAAAATAAACTTAAAAATAAACATTTTAAAATAAGGGATACTCATAAGAGTAAATATTACAAAAATGTTATCAGATTAAAATGTTATAGACGGTGATTTTATTTATTCCATAAGCGTTTATTAAACAAGCATCACACCACCAAAGTAGTACATGAAAGCTGGAAGCAGTCTTCATGATTCCTTTATCCAACTACCTGTATTTTTCAGAGAGAAAGTATCATCCAGAGTCTCTATTTTTTTTTTTAATTTTTAATGTTTTATTTATTTCTGAGAGAGAGAGAGAGACAGTGAGAGCAGGGGAGGGTCAGAGAGAGAGGGAGGCCCAGAATCTGAAGCAGGCTCCAGGCTCTGAGCTGTCAGCACAGAGCCCGACGCGGGGCTCAAACCCACAAACTAGGAGATCATGGCCTGAGCCGAAGTCAGACGCTTAACTGACTGAGCCACCAGGCGCCCCCAGAGTCTTTCTATTTACATTCTATCTGTAGATACGATCCTCTCATCACACAGCTTTAAATCACAGGTATCCTCTGACATGGCCCAGATCTTTACCTCTAGTGCTTGGCTTTTCTGTCTCCTTGATATCTGTTAGGTGTCAAACAGGCACCTCAACCTTAACATGGCATGTGTTAGCTTTGTATATTTCCCCCAAACCTGTTTTTCTTTGTGGGAGTGGGAAAAAAAATTTCCCTTCTTCCAACCTAGGTTATTGGCTGGCCTAATAATTAAATTAACAGGAGAAAAACAAATTTAATTTCATTCTTGTTAGTGCCCCATAAAAATATGAGACTCAAAGAAGTGACCAAAGCAGGAAGCTTTTGTACCTTTTAGACAAAGAAATCATGAATTTGTGAAGAATTGACAAGACAAAGGGGTTTGGGCTTGGGGTAATAAATTGGTGAAGGGACAAAATCTGTTTATATAGCCTTCTTGGTCTTAAATTTCCTATCTCTGGTGATAAGCATGCCTTCTAGTCTCCTGGTACAGGAAGGGTACTTTTCACATAGATTTGTTTCCTGCTTTCAGAGGGACAAAGGTGAGTCAGCATATTCCTCTTGCACTGTTTTTCAAGTCACTTTAATTAAAAATAATCATTACGCCAAAATGGCATATTTGGGGCTAGAGTATTCTACAATCCTTCACCCTCAAGTCATTAAACAAACTCTTGAGTGTTAACTCTTGATTCACCTCTTTTCCTCCTCTAAACATCCAACCTGTTTGTCTATTATACTTGCAATTTTCCACTCTGTCAATCCACTGCCTAGAGCCTAAGTCATCTCCTAATTTATCACCTTGGCTGCTCCCACTAGGCTCCAAATTTAGCTTCCATCTTTTGAAAGGGATAATAAGATCTTCTTACCTTATGCCTCTGCTTGGGGCAGTTCACAGCTTCCTGTTGCACTTGGAGTAAATCTAGAGGCCTATCACTTCCAAAGGCAGGCATGGTCCGTGCATGCTGGCCCCTCTGCCGCGTTCCCAGTACTGGCCACACTCTCCTCCACCCAGACCCACTCTATGACCCCAGACCTGTATCTCTGGCTGGGCTTCTCAGCTGAGCTTGGCTGTATGTACTTCTGTCAGACCTCCCTCCTGGGGTCTGGTGACCACCCCAGGGCTGCCTCTCCCACTGTCTTCAGGCCCCAGCAACTCAAGGTATCAGTTGCTTGGGCCCTCCTCAACTCTGTTCTTTCTTTTATTCCCCACACCCAGTTCAACATTATATTGTGTTTGGTCTAATACAGCCCATCCCACCCTGCATCATGATCATTTCTACATGAACCACCAAGTCTTCTCTCCAGGATTACTGAAATGGCCTCTTACTGTCTCTGTGCTACTGACCTAGCCCCTCTGCATTCTATTCACACAGCAGCTGGTGGTGATCTTTGGAAACCTGAGTTTAGTCATACTCCTGTGCTCAAAGCCCTCCAAAGCTTCCCTTCTCACTCAGCTAAATGCCAAAATCCTTACTCTGATTCTTCAGGCCCTATATGAGCTCACCCTGGGCTTATCTCTGCTCACCCACTTGGCTCTAAACACCTGGACCATCTCACTGGACCTGGAATCCCACACTCTCCTACACTTGCTCATTTTTGCCCAAGATATCTCTGCAGCTTGTTTCCTTGGGCCTCTGCTGAGGGCTATCCCAGGAGGCCCCCTCTGACAGCCCTAAGTACAGTAGCCCAGTTACACCCTTCCTACTGGGTTCCCTGTGCCCCTCCACTTCCTACATCCTTCTTATTGGAATCACCTTAGGAGACATAGCATTCCTGAGAGCAGGGACTTAGTGGTGTTCCCAGAGTGTTTTGTTTAGTTGCTGCCAATGTTAAGCAACACTAATTCCCTTAACATGTGTGTCTGTGGGGTGTTTCCCACACCACCAAGCAATTCTTTGACATTGCTGAGTATCCTATAATTCAACTCAATTGACATTACTTGGAGACAGCATCAGAACTCACTGGTTAAGTTCTCAGTCCAGCAAGGCTGCCTTCCAACACACATACCACACATTTTAGACACTAGTCACAAGTTCAGGTTGTCCAGTGCTTCTGAACAATTGGCTATGGATCGAATGTTCCAACAATACCCACCTTGGGTTTAATTCATTTGCTAGAGCGGCTCACAGAACTCAGAGAAACATTTTACTTAATTACCAGTTTATTACAAAATGATATAACTTAGGAACAATCAATGGAAGAGATACACAGGGAAAATATGGGGAAAGGGCATGGAACTTTCATGCTCTGTCTGGCAGTGCCATTCTCCCTGACTCTCCACACGTTCACAAACCTGGAAACTCTCCAACCCTCATCCTTTTGGGGTTTTATGGAGGCTTCTTACATAGATATTAAAACATGGGCCACTGCCAATTGATTTGACCTCCAGCTCCTCTCTCTTCTTGGAGGTCAGTGGAATGGGGCTGAAAGTTCCAAATCTCTAATCACGTGGTGGTTGGTTCCCCTGGCAACCAGCCTCCATGGAAAGTGCTTTCTAAAAGCCACCTCATTATGATAAACTCTAATATGGTTGAAAAGGGTTTCTTACGACTGTCAAGATAACTTTATCACTCTCATCACTTAGGAAACTGGTTTAAGAGCTCTGTGCCAGAAATGGGGATGGAAACCAAATATATACTTATTATTATAAATCAGTGTCCTACTGTCTCTTCCCGCTAGAATGTTAGATCCATGAGAATATCTGTTGTCATCAGCAATTCTTCTAAGTTGGTCCCCAGTGCCTAGAACAGTGTCTGGGAGAAAACTGGGTGATGAATAAGTATTTACTAAAGGAGGACAATTAAAGTGACTTGCCCAGGGCCCAGCAGTAGGGCCTCATCAGAGCTCAGTGGTCCAGACAGGCAGCTCAGAGTTCATCTAAGCCTGGCCCTGGCCCAGGTAGTCAAGAGTCTGAGATTTTAACTGGCAGAAGACATACAAGCTCAAAACCCTGCAGAACAATCTAAGGGAGGTTTTTACATACCAAAGCACTTACATCAGAAGAGAAGTGATTCCGTGAGGTTCAATGGATCATGCAGTGTGGAAACCTTCTGGGAGGTGAGTTGAGTGAGGACTTAGCGGAAATATTGAATTTGGATTGGTGAAGAGCAAGTGGGGAAAGATTCTAGGCTTCAGGAGCAGCAGTGTGACTCATGGAATCTTGGAACCTTAGAGTGGAATGTAGGTGGGAATGAATAAAGTCTGTTCTGAGAAGGGTAAGGAGACCTCTTGCCCTGGGGCTGGGCCAGGAGTAGGGAGGGGTGGAGTTAAATCAGTCAGTTGGTGCCAGTTCCCCTGAGGGCCTCAAGGGACCTCTGCCTGAGGAGTCAGCATTTGACTTTGTAAGCAGCAGGGGACTCCGGTAAGCTCCAGGGTAAAAGAAATGAAGTAAAGGGGTTCAGGAGGTCAAGGGACCACTTTGTCAACATGTGGACTGGCTGAAGCAAGGAGACTGGGAGGCAGGGAAACCTACCCAGTCTTTGGGGCCACAGTGGGGAAACCTACAGGGATGGAGGTGTCTATGGAAATAGAGGGAGCCAGTAGGCCCTGGGGCCTCACTGGGTCAGGTGATGGAGGAACAGGAGAGTCCATGAGGTCTTAGTCATTGGAAGCCAGGGAAGTTGTAGTCCTTCATTTGCTACTAACACTCAGTTTGGGATACCCTTGGTTCATTGTGAGATTGTGAGATCTGATTTCTTTCCCTGAAAATGCAGGTACTTTAGCCAAATCTTTCTCTGACCCAGGCCTCTACACATTAATTTCTACCCTTAGAAATGGCACGGGGGAGAGGCTTGATATGTGGCATGCATCATTTTCTTAGCATCTGTCACCCTACACTCCTTATACTGTATCCTGACAAATATTGTGGTCTGTGGCAAGGCTGCCTGTAGAGATGTGACACCCTGGCATGGCTGGTTGGTATTTGAGCTAGGGTACAGGAGGTAAGAGAGTGTCATGGGGAATAGGTTAAGTGATTTGAGGAAAGCTAAGGAAGTGACTTGTAGGAGGCCTGAGAGGGATGAAGCCAGCACCAGCAGAGGCTGCAAAGAGGTCTCTTGGGCAGTGACCAAGTATCCCAATGCAAGAAGAGACAGGAGAGGCTGGACTGCAGGAGGCCAACAGCTCTCAGAATCAAAGACAGGCAGTACCCATAACGGCTCTCCTCACCCAAACTCCCAGCCAGAGTCTCCTACGCAAGAATCTCTGCTTATCTCTGTACTTCCAAAGCAGAAGGCTAAACTGTCACAGCTGTGGTATATCTGAGGAAGAGCGTTACTGCAGGAGTGGGGACTCCCTCATATTTTCTGCCATACCCAGTGTATTCTCCTACATCCATCTTTCACACGCTCCCGTCTCCCATTGCCCACCAATACTGAGGAGAGCCTTTGTTCAAACTTAGGCCACTTCTGGTCTTCCCCTGTCCTCTCAACAATCACTTTCAATTCCCTGTCACAGTTTTTCATAGAAGCCACCTCAGAACTGCAGCACACAGGAAAATTTTAGCTTTCAGGGTTTGCCAGAGAGGAAAAGAAAAATACTTGCAAACCTGTCTTCCTTTGCCACTGGGAAATAGTCCTTCCTTCAATTAAAAAAAACAAACCAAAAAAAAGCCTATTTAGGGAAGTAAGGGAAGGCGGTTATAATCAGGGAAAGGAAAAATTTCACCCAAGAAGTTAATCTAAAAGTAGGTGGAGGTTGAGCAGTGATAGGCAAAGGTGTAGAGGAAATGGAATTCCGACTTCTTGGGCTCTCCCCTAAAGCAGATATTCTCGATTAATAAGATTCAAAACTCGAAGCAGTGGTATGCCATGGCTCATCTGGAAGTTGACTCTAGCTGATTCCAGGACGAGGCTCCTAACGGGGTCCCGAGACGGTTTCCCCGTCCTGGGCCCAGGGAGCGGGGCGGGCCCAGGAAGAGCCCGGCAGCTGCCAGGGGACTGCGGTGCCTTTTCTCTCACAGTCTGCAGCTTCCTCTCTCCTACCCGAGACAGGGTGCGTTCGCAACGCTCTGGGCCTGAACTTACTCTGCTGGGAAACGAAACCAAACTGCTCTAAAGTTTCTAGCTCGGGCTCTTTTTCTTTCCCGCTATCCACGGTATCCCCCCCGGGGCGCGGCGCGGGGCGGGGCCAGGAGCGGCGGCGGCGGAAACAGCCGGGCGGGCGCCAGTACACGGGGGCTCGGCGAGGCGCGCGCCCCGCCCAGCCTGCGCCCTGCCCTGACTGCGGACCCGCGGGCTGGGCGGGGCGGGCCCTGACCGCGGTCTCCTTGCGTCCTGCAGGCTGGGAGCTCGCGCCGCGGCGCCCGGGCCGCCGGCGATGATCACCTAGGAGGCTGGCGCGGGCAGGCGCGAGCGGCGGAGGACCCGGGCGCGGCGACACGCGGCCATGGAGCGGGAGCCGGCGGCGGCCCAGGAGCCCGGGTCCCCGGGTCGTCGCCGTCGGCGGCGGCGGCGCGGGGACGGCAGGACGCGCGTGGTGCGCTCCAACCTGCTGCCGCCCCCGGGCGTCGAGGACCCCACGGCTGGTGCGGCCAAGGGTGCGCGGCGGCGGCGGCGCGGGGGCACCCAACACCTGGCCGACAACCGGCTCAAGACCACCAAGTACACTTTACTGTCCTTCCTGCCCAAAAACCTTTTCGAGCAGTTCCACCGCCTGGCAAACGTGTACTTCGTCTTCATCGCGCTGCTCAACTTCGTGCCGGCGGTGAACGCCTTCCAGCCCGGCCTGGCGCTGGCTCCCGTGCTCTTCATCCTGGCGGTCACGGCCTTCAAGGACCTGTGGGAGGACTACAGCCGCCACCGCTCGGACCATGAGATCAACCACCTGGGCTGCCTCGTCTTCAGCAGGTGAGTCGGGCGCTGAGAGCAGGGGAGCGCGGGGTCAGCTCAGGGCCACGGCGCTCTGAGAACTTGGTGTTGGGCGCTGTGTCAGTGGCACCGGGCGGGGTGGCCCAGAGAGCGGCTCCAGTAGGGGCGAAGGGCCAGGCCTCCAATGCGCCTGGGCGCGCGGGGGTTACCCTGTCCCTGATTGATTGGCACTGAGACGCCGCGTCCGAACCAGAATGATCCCAGGGCTGGAATCCAGCAGCGGCTGGGCGTCTTCGTCTCCACCGCTCCCGCCTTTTAAGTAAAAAGGAGGAAAATCCATACCCCCCCACCCCCCGCCGCGTTCTGGTTTGAAGTCCTAGCCTGTCTTCGGTCAAGCTCCAGGCTCTCTAGGGTAGGTTGTTTAACAAGTTTAGCAACCAATACAGGTACATAAAGCTCAGGTTTAGGTAACATCTCTTCTTGGAACAACAGTGAAACTGACACCAAGTTTTGGTGTGACCAGCACAGACATATAAAAAAGCAGAGGTAATAATAGCAGAGGCCATCCATTGATGTGAGCTGTGAGCAGTCCACCCACTGGGCACTGTCCCATAGTTGACTGTTTAATGTTAATTTTCTAAAAATTAGCCCGTTTACAAATTTAAAGACTGAGGATTTGAGGGGTTTTCCAGCCATGCCTATGGTTAGTAATAGGGAATGTCATTGCATTGGGCTTTTTCTATCTTCCTGTACCTTCCCAGAGTTTTGGACTCTCAGGCTCGGGGTGACTGCTGTCTCTTCTCCCTTTAGACTCCCCACCCCCAAAAGAGCCTCTTGACTGCAGATCCATCTTGGAGCTGTGCCTAGTAGCTCAATGTCCAACCTCTCAGGAAGGCAGATGGTCTTGGCTCCAAAGCTCAGCCAGTCTTTCCCTCCTGTTCACCTTGCTTGAGTCCTGGTGTAGGGGGTTGATATGGGCCACTGAGTTAAGGACTTTAGTCTTCTCTGGCTTCCATCACATGTGAGGGGCTTCTGGGAAACACCTTGTGCTATCAGTGGCAGATTGTTCCCCTAAAAGATGGGACTTACGGTTATTCCTACTTTTTAGGATAACTTAGATGCAGAGTAGTATTTCTGACCCTCCCAGCAACACTGGTTGTGCTTCATACTTATTTTACAGATGAGTAAACTAAAGTTCAGAGAAGTTAAGTAACTTGCCCAAGGCCACACAGCTGCTATGTAGAGAAGTGGTACTGGAATTTAACCCAGGTCTCAGTTCCACAGCTTTTCCAACACTGTGGTGCTTGTGCTCCTTAAATTTATATAAAAAATCACTTGAGGAGCTGGTTAAAAATAACAACTCTCAGGCTCCCATTGGCAGTGTTTCTGACCAAGTTCATCTGGGATTGGACCCAGGAATCTGAGTGTTTAATTAGTACAGAGGTGATGCTTATATAATGTCTCATACTTTGAGTAATGGTTTTTTGTTCTCAAGGGGTGCCCACTGCCCAGTCTGCAAGCATGATGTCGGTGGATAGGACTGTGGGATTTCCTGGCTCTTGTTCACAAGAAGCCTGAGGTTAAGAAGGGAGGGGACACTTATTACACAAAAGTCCTCAGTGTCCCTAGTGTGAGAATTCTGGGGAGCCATACACCTGCTTTCTGCGTGACAGAACTCTGGTGGGACTATAGCAGGTTTGAGTCTTCTCACACACCACTTCCTGTTGTTAGTGAGCCAGTAGCTCCGGTAGCCTCCTTTTCAGAAATACTTAGGCCTCAGGAAATACAGTGCATTTTCAGTTTACACAGTGTTTTTAATCCATTAAGTCATTTGACCCTTAAAACAACCATCAACCCAAACATGCAGGTGAGAAAATCGAGTGGGATCCAAACACAGTTCTCTTCAGTCAACTTAAAAAGGCTTCATAGGATTTTGAAACCTTCATCTTCCCCTTGGACCACACCTGTACATGTTCTCCTCACCTTCTACCCGGAGCAGACTGGGATTCTTAAATAATTAGTACAGCCCTCAGGGGCAGGTCCTCAGAGATAATGGTGCTTTCAGGAGAAGTTCCTAAATATCTCCCAGCTCCCAAGTTGAATTTCTTGAATGCTTTCCTGGGCAGAGAAGGGGTCCTCTGCTTAGGAAGGTCCCATGTGCACATGGATAGGTGTGAGAGGGGTGGTAGCTGTTTGTGTATGTGAAGACTATCTGGAGGACAGTCATCCCTGTTCAAAAGCCAGATCAAACTCTTCCAGGCCTAGAAAGTCTATGATTGGTGTTTTTAGGACTGAACTGTGAGTAGTATGGATTTCTGAGCTCTCCCCTTCCTCTGAGAATGGTGACTTGTGCACTCATTGCATTCCAGGCCGTGTGTAGCTGCCTTGAAAGTCCTTTACATCGACTCAAGACATGCCAGGCCCTAGCCAGACCCTGGGATAGAAAAGGAGGAGGCTGGGTCTCACCAGGAACTTACTGTGGGGACTGATGGCACTATGCAGGACATATCCATGGGCTGGGGCGAGGGTAGTACTCCTAGCCCAGAAGATACCTTATTTTATGTCAGGCCAAAGCTTGTTCCGTGCCTTTGGTTACTGGAGAGACAACGGGAAGCACAGTTGTGAGCAGTCAAGGTCTGTTCTATGTTGCATCATTGCTCTGGTTGATGTGCAGAGGTGTGTTTAGTCAAAGCATGTGTAAATGCAGAGCACAAACAAAGTTTAGTTGGGGGAGCCTTATCTGCTGACACCATCTCTGGATGGTGGCTTCTTTTGGACATGTTTGTGTTCTGACGATAGCCTGCAGTGTATCATTTATGTGGTGGTTCTGTCAGTAACGTAGTCCTAGGGTCCCTTCTTTTTTTTGTTTTTAAAATGTTTATTTATTTCGAGGAGACAGAGAGAGAGACAGCGTGAGCAGGGGAGGGTCAGAGAGAGACGGAGTCACAGACTGAAACAGGCTCCAGGCTCTGAGCTGGCAGTCAGCACAGAGCCTGACGCGGGGCTCGAACCCACGAACCGTGAGATCATGACCTAAGCGAAAGTCGGACGCTTAACCAACTAAGCCACCCAGGCACCCCTAGGGTCCCTTCTTTATGAGAATCTCCATCAGACTTGTGAGAAATGCAGCTTCCCAACCCTCCACCCATGCTTTCTAGCCTGTGGAGGTGAGAAAGCTGGTGTCTTCGTCAAAGCTTTGTTTACACACAGAAGTTTGAGAAGCCATGTTTTGCTTCTGTGTCCTGAGCCCGTTGCATCCTCTCATGGATTTTAGTCTGGTATTTAGGGAAATTCTCCTGAGCCATGCTCAGTGGGATGAGAGAGAGAGGTGGGTGATCCTGGGGGATCAGGTCCTATTTGTGGCCTCCCAGCTGGTAGAAATGGTCAGTTTGAACATCACTCAGTTGTGGTCTAGTGGTTTGGGGAGAGTGTGGGAAGCCCTCTTGATCACACAGACCTCCTGTTCTGGCAGTGGCTAGCCAGAGGGGCCACAGGTGGAAAGAAAGGGGGCTTACTGAGCAGCCAGCTGGGACAAGGCTGGTGTCACCAGGGGCCTGGGCTGAGAGGGGAGCAAATGGTTGCAGGGTGCAAGGTTGGTGAGGCTGGAGAAGAGAGGAGATGGGAACATAGAGTCAGCCTGGAGAGTGGTGATTCTGGGGGCAGGAAAGCAGAGAATAGTTATCAGAGAAGGTCATTGATAAGGAAGTTGAAGAAGCAATATTCCTAGAAGAGGATGTTGCCCAGGAGAGCCAAAGGGAAGATGCAGAGACCATGCATGCAAGAAATTACTCTCATCCTTGTCTTTAAGGGCAGTGGGTAATACTTCTTTAAATAAGCAAACCTGATCCCTGCTCCCAGAAACAGAGCAGGTCTCAGAAGGGCACACCTTGAGGTGGGGGTGCTGCATAAGCCCCCTGCCTCACCTGCATTCTGTTTTCTAACTTGTCAAGTGGGGTGCTGGACCCATGTCTGCATTCCCCTTCTGGTACCCTTGTCCTAAGAACCTCTTTTTCTCTGCTCCGTACTTTGCCTGGGTCATTGTGTAATTCCCCCTTTCCCCCATCCCCTCCCCCCCCCCAGCTTTTGCCTCCATTCCCTTTGTAATGACTTAAATATAGTCTTAATGACACCTTCCAATGTCTGTCTTCAGGATGATGGAAACTGTTTCTGGATGAAATAACCTAAGATGACTTTTCCCAGAATCGTTTGAGCTTTGTACTTGGATTTGAGTGTGGTGCGTTGGTGTTTTTCCATCATCTTTTGGGAAAACAGGTAATCAGGGGCTACTCTAATGCTTATCTTGGAATTGCTCTAATTTCTGTCTGTTCCCTTTCTTTTGATTCTCACTTCATTTCCCCAGCTCACTGGGATTATCTGTCCAACCTGCTTACCCTGGGCTTCATGATTTGTTTTTTCAGAAGAGCCTGAAATGCGACCCAGCAAGACCAGCAACGTACTCTTTTTGTTTTCTGTTCCTTTATCTTGTCTTCCCTCTCCTTCCTTCCCTTTCCTGGGGAGCGACATGCCTGCCTTGTCAGCAGCAGAAACATCTTTTCCCTGGAAGCATAGCAACTTTATCTTATTTGGAGTACAAGATTTGCAAAAGGAGACACCAGAACACCATCCAGGAGACAGGAACATGCCCAGATAATGCATGTCCTCTTTAAGGCCCCTGACGGGACACTTGAATAATATTTGGACATTGCCATTCACATGTTTTTAGAAGTTATTTTTCTTTTGATGCCTGTCATATGTCATGGTTGTCAAGTTGCAGAAAAAGAACCTTTCTTTCCCTACAACCTTGGTTGCCCTCAGAAGGTAGTCTTGTTCATGAGGCAGTTCTTTTTTACTTGTTGATAGGAGGCAAGTGTTTTTATATGTGTAATTCCATCTTAACCTCACAACAGCCTTATTTTCACATCCCTGTTTTTCACAGATGAGGAAACTGAGGCCATAATTTCATCTTGTCCTCCCAACACTCCTTTTACTTTTTACATCCCTATTTCACAGATGGGTAACTGAGGCTTTAAGACGTAGAT